TAGAGGTGTAGTGGGAAGAGTGTGGTGTATAAAGTTTATGGTACAGGAGGTTGGTGATTCGAGTCTCCGCAAGAGCGGATCAAATTGTTTTACAATGAATTATCGTCACGAATCGTGCCTACCATGACATTAAAGTGTCACTAAAAGGTTTTAGTCTTGATGGTGTAATGACACTTATAAGTGTCACTAACTCTTTTTTTAATGGTGCTTGATAGTGCCACAAATAATATCTACCATGACATCAAAATGTCATTGAAAGTTTTTAGTCATGATGGTGTAGTGGCACTTGCAAGTATCTACCGTGGCACGGATACAAATGGCACTTGTTCAAAATGCCACAAGACTAAAAAATGTCATTAAACCAATAATTTTGTGGCACTTTCAAATGTCACTAAATTAAGAAAATGTTGTAGTGTTCCTTGTTCGCTACACATCCTGCTTTGCAGTTCACAAGTCCAATGCCAAGCTTCCCAAACAAATCTTACACCATCATGTCTTCTATCAGCAGATTTAAACTATATCTTACCTTCTTTAATGTTTATGGTTGTATTCAATAAATGAACTATATTTTACAACCTATATCTTGAAAGAAAGAGATGAATGCTTAGTTGAATGTTTGAAATAATACTCGATCAATGACATTAATCTTGAATGTGAAATTGAGTTAAATACAATTGTGAAAGATTAACAGTTGAACATATAACTTGACAAAACAACATATAGAAGACCAAACTTACTTCACACTTGGAGAGATGATTTAGATTGAAGAAAATCAATTGAATCATCAAGCCTCAACCCTGGTCAACCAAGATTATCAACTAGCTTATGAGTTGGTCAACCAGACCTTAGAAAAGGAGGTATAGTGAAGAAAGGAGGACATCATATTGATCAAAGAGTTTGTCAACCCAATGACAAATTCACCTTTGGCACTTAATATCAAGGAACACCCCTCCCCTCTCTTCTTCTCTTCATGCATTTTACCACTCCTAAACCAACAATCTAGTCTCACCACCTTTAATAATAGTCCCTTCCTTCTATTCAAATATCATCTTTTCCACCTTACCTACCTTTCAAATATTCCCAACCTACAACCAAGATATTTACCCTACCTCTCATTGGAATGGGAGGTTGAATAGAAGGGTAACTGACAATTATTGAGTAAGATATTTGTATGACATATAATAAACTGGTAGAAGTATAATTTCAAACGTGTCCTAAGCATGTTGTGTCCTACCTTTTTTGCAAATCAATGTGTGCTGTCCATGTTGTATCATATGTCCGTGCTACATAGTTTTTATCTATTTTGTATGGCCGATTCTCTGTCTTTGGACCATCTTTTAGATTTTCTAAAGACCTTTGAAAAAAAATTGATGTATAGTTTTTTTTTTTCTTTCCAGATTGCACCTATTGGGTGCCATTACAAAATATTATAATCAACAAAAAAATATTAATTTAAAAAAATGTGCACTTACGTGGAATACACTAAAACTCCACCCGAGGGAACTATCTGAACAGCCTGGTCAAACATTTTCCTTTGATACTTTGCATCGTTCTTTAAAGACTATTGTGTCTTGCATCAAGAAAAATAAAGAATGACAAAAAAGAAGTTGCAACTTGCAAATCATCTTTTGAGAGAAATTAAAACATATATAAAATAACTACTCGCATTGAACAAGTCTTTGTGATGTCATAAAAATACACCAAAAAAATAGAAAGTGATACCCAACATCAACTTTTTAAATTATCCAAACGCGAACTAAATAGATTATTCTCATCAAAATGAAACAACCAAACTCATCAAGTATAGTTTAGTTTCATTTGTTGCATTTTTTTTAAAACTCATCAATTATATTATAACTATTTTTGCAATGACGTGATAGAAATAATAATGACAAATTGAAAAATACATGAAGCATACTTGGGACGTTGTGAAGTTAAGTTTTCATTTTACTTGAGCCTTACTTAACATCTAAATTATGCAATGCAGCAAAGATGATATGGGACTTGCAAGAAATCAATGTTGATTAATATATTTTAATTTATTAATAATCATTAGGACCCACAGAAATACTATTGCCAACTTTTCATTTTATTAGGACTTTAAGAGGCTTACATGAGAATTTTAGTGGTTATTACATTCGATAGAGTTAGTTTTAATGTGTTTGGTAGACTTAATTCTAATGTGGTTTATATGTGAGAAATAAGTATTATCATTTAATAAAGGTAAATCATAAACAGACCAAAACAATCCAGTTCCAGTACCAAGTATGGTAGTTCAAACAAAGAAACCAAAAGGCCAATTGAAATAGATTCCACAAAGTTGTTTTTTCATTATCAACAAAAACAACTACATCTCTATACAAGTAAAAACAAAAAGAGAAAAGTGGCCCGTTAGAAGTTTTAAGAATAGATAAGAAACTGTTTGCACGAGATAAAGAAACCTACTTGACCCAACAAGGCCTTGTCCCAACTATTTGGATTTGGCTACATGAATCTTGTTCTACCATTCCTCTCTGCTTAGAGTTAAATTCCAGTTGAACAACACACTGCCATGCATCTCTGTGCATCCCAACACAGTAAAATTTTGGCCTTCCATTCCCCATTATGTTACTCTTTCTGACTCTTGCAACTACCTATCTCATTGAAAATGACCATTGTAAGACTAGATGTTTTAGAATACTCACAAATTTTAGCTATTAGTTTTTTTAACAGACAATTTTTTTAAGCTAAAAAAAAAAAAAAAAAAAACAACAACAACAACAACAAATTTTAGCTATTATCTATCTAATCAAAGTTACAAAGACTTCATTTACACCCCCAAACAATATGAAACTTAAAAAATAGTGTAACAATGAAATTCTATCATTATGGTAGAAGAGAGTAATTACAATCATTAAGATTGAACTTGAGTAGAAAGTGGACTCTTGGTAGATATTACAATGTCAAAATACTTTCTCTCCATACTTTTCTGTCTAACAAAATCAATCTATGAGATCTTCTTAAGCTCAATGCAAAAGTACACATAACATAACTACAGCCCTTGAAGTGTAAGGTTTATAGATGCAGGGGGGTTGGAATTGGCTTGATTTAAAAGGCGGTAAGTTGCAAGATTTGCAAAGAATTAATTACTAAAATTCTATACAGTAACTATTTCATGGCTTTTGGGCTTGAATTCAAAGTCTGAAAAGTACAGAAAAGGGTTATTAGCTTGTTAGAGCATAGTTTTGGCATAATTTAGGGGCTGTTTATTGGCCTTGAATTTCTTGAACAGTAAGGTCTTCTCTATACACCAGAGCCTCTTATGGATGGTAACTCAAAAGAAGATGAGAAAGAAAAGAAGTAGATAAAGAAGAAAAATCTAGGATCCACTTAGAATTCTTTTGAAATTAAGCGCAACGGGTAAAGGCTAATACATCACAAAAAGCTGCAAAAGCTTGTCATGGGTTTAGAAAAAGAAACTCCTAACTTTATTTAATTCCAGAACAGAAAACTAAAATCTTTGACTAGCTAAAATATTCAACAGCTAATATAGCCGTGTACAAAAACCAGTAAAAAAATCATATGTAATCAAGAACGGTCCATGTACCCATACTACAGCCTATGTCAAAAAATATGAAATTACCAAAACAGTCCAACTCCAAACCAAACCAATCCCAATTAAGCATTGGGTTCCAATGAAGTAGGATCAGCTACATGAATCTTTTTCATCATTCTGCTTTGTCAGGAGCTATATACTCAGTTAAGTACAAATTGTACTGGAAACTATGGCACAAATTGACCCAAAACATTCTCCAAGAAAATCCAGATTAGATATTCTTCTTATTTTCTTACTGTGCATCAGCTTGCAAATTCTACCATAGAGCAAAATCCCCTCAATAAATTGGTACCAAAGACGATCTTCAACAAAAACACAAGATAGTAACTTCCATTGGTTGCATTCAACAGGTATTCAACTGTTACACGCTTGTCCAGATAATTCTGATTCAACAGCATGCAAAATTTCATAGTCTGGGGATACTATTGTCCAATTACGCACTTCAACATTAAAAACATCTAGAGATTCTGGTATCGATCTAGCAAGAATTGTTGATCTATTTTTAAGTATCTTTATGGTCAACGACCACCTACTAAATTGGAGAAAGTGAGAAACCAGCAACAGATAAGAAGCCAACCACCAAGATAAAAAACACAGAACAAGGAGCACCAAGAAAAAATAGGCAACTATAAGAAATAATAATAATAATATACAAAAATAAAATAAAATCTAGGAAAATATCGTACCTCTCCAGCAAATAGTCGAGGTCTCAAACCCAGAGCAGAACAAGGAGCATCAAGAAGAACTCTATCAAAGCTATTTGAAGAAAAACCTTCTGATTTTGAACTTGATCGAAGCTATTTGGAGAAAAACCTTCTGATTTTTCAACCCTACCACCAATGCCATGATTTCTTCCAACCTCATTTCTCTGTGTCAAGATACTCTTTCGGAGTTCAGCTTTGCTAGTGTAAGTCATTTGAGTTTCTTGTCCATTGGTAATTGAAATATTATAAGTTGATTAGATATGGAAGTTGCACTTGTAGGGTAGAGGAAGTGGCACTCATCATGCACATATCGACCATGGAATAGGAACAACCATAAATTTGTCATCCCTAAAATGGAAATGAATTCCTACCATGTGTGGTAAGGGAGATTAGACTAAAGCTAGCAAAGGTAATGACATGCATTCTAAGGAGAATTAAATCAATGGTAAGAAGGGAAACCCTAAGGAGAATTTCTAGAATACAATTCTTGGTTCAAAGCACAACCATATTTCAAAGTTTGAAACTTCTAACCCTTTCTGGTCTCCAACATGACATGTTATGCTAGAGTTCAATATCACATGTGGCTATTCCAGTGGAAGTTTGATGATTTCATCTTTTTTTTTTTTTCAGTGAAACTGTTATAAACGCACTATTTGCATATCTACCACTTGTTCTCACATGTACCCACGTGTCAAAAAAAATCATGAATCATAAAATATAGGCCATATAAAAAGAATTAACATACAGTTTTCATTTCTGGGGAAATCAATGTTTGGCAGTTCTTGGGCAACAAATGATGAAGTGTGCATGTCACTGGATTCATATCTTCTATGAACAGCTTTAAGAGCATCTAATTTGTAGGTGGTTATACAATTCAAGCCCATTTCAGCAGCCAATTTCTGGATATCAAGAACCTACAAAATAAAATATGAATAGAAGTAACATAATGATAACTTCACAAAAATCTATTTTTAAGAGAACAAAGGGCAGAAGACGATACATTTTTAGATGTGAAAATTTTAAGTATCAGACCAAACACATGTTGCCAGCATCAAAGTATTAATCTGCCTATAGTATTCGGTTATGTTTAAATATCAAAATTATCAAACATTGTCATGCAATATGATTTTTATCAGTCACCAAGTAAATTGTATTAAGAACACGCCTAGAGAGCACAACCCACATACAACCAGTAAAATTAAAAAAGAAAAAGAAAAACACTACGACCCTAAAACAATCAAAAGAAAGATCCCCTTTCAACAATAAAATGCTTCAATGAAGCGTCAATTCCACAAAAGGAGCTTTCTCAATGTCACAACCATCCACTCTATGTGGACTTGGCATCATAGCAGGATGGCAGCCTACCTGTGGCCACCAAGGCCTGTGGTCTAGTGCAAGTAGGGCCAAAGTTTTCACTTGCAACAGAGCACAAACCCACTTGCACCTTTTGTAATTACTTTCACTTCTTCACACTGATTTGTAATTCATATCTTTGTCAATTCTTTTAAATCATGTTTGGTTGTGAGAATATATGTTAATTATGGAAATATATCAATTAGGTTGATTGCATATTTTAGATTGATTGTGTGAATATTAGATTGATTGTATAGGGTTATTATTTTCTATTTCAAATTAGGTTTAGGTTTGCTATATATATCGATTGTAATATTTGTATTAGAAATAAGTTGAATATACAGATCATTCAGAAAAACTTACAGTTTGCAGCTTATTCCAATAAGAGATCTATTTGTTGAAAGTAAGCTTGATGGTAGGCAGCCACCCACCATGTTTGACAGCTACCATTTTTGAAAGAAAGTTTGGTAGGAGGTAAAAAATGGCTGCATAAATTGTAGGCTTTCACACTGTATTATTGTATGCTTTTACATTGTCTAGTTTATCTATAAATAGCTAGTATATCAAGAATGTTAAGAGTGTGGGAGAAAACAAGAAGAGAGTGTTGTGTGTAATTTTTCAGAATTATCTGTGAGTGAATTAAATTTCAGTTTGGTTCAGCTTTTAAACCTCTCATTGTGAATCACCAACAGTGGTATCAGATCCGAAGGTAGCTTGAATTTGCAGAAATTTTGCAAAATTTTCAAGAACAGACTGTTTTTTTTTTCCCCAGAAATCAAAGTGGTCGAAATCAATTTTTAATCACACTAGATTGAAGCTCTCAATGAGACGAGCACAACCGTGAAAACCGCATAAAAAACACAGATCGGACAGACCCGCACGCGCCCCACGCGCCTCCTGACACCGTTCTCATGCGCCTCTACGCGAAGAAGACGAGTCAACCCACGTGTAACACGCGACACACGCGCACGCACCAGAGTCTAACGTCATCCGCCAACGTCATCCGAGCCGAGCCAAGCCTCCAAGCCGTGCCTCTAAGCCGTTAACTGGAGCCGCTGATCGAGCCTAGCCGCTAACCGAACCGCCATTGACCGGAGCCGCTGACCGAGCTGAGCCTGAGTCGCGCCGCTAACCAAGCCGCGTTGACTAAGCCGTTGACTGAGCCGCTGACATTAGCACACGGAGGATTAATCCAGTGTGACGTGGCTAAGGTGCAGCCGCAGATCTGAACCGTTCAAATTGTTTTGGCTTGATCTAAGCCATTCGGAGTCTGTTTCTGGTGATCCAATAGTGCTTTCTAACTATTTGGAGTATTCCGAACGCATATGTACGGTCAAAATTTACAAATTCCATTTTGAAAATTTACAGATTTTTAAAGACAACCAATGGCCAACACCAATAACTTCTTTCAGCCCCAGTTTCCAAAACTCAGCAAGGAGAACTATGAAAATTGGAGTATTCAAATACAAGTCCTACTAGCCTCACAAGATTTGTAGGAGTTAGTGGATCGAGGATATGACGAGCCAGCTACTCTCGCAGATGAAGGAAATTTAAATGATGCTCAGAAGACGACGTTAAAAGATTTAAGGAAGAGAGATAAAAAGGCCTTGTATCTACTCTATCAAGGCATTGATGAGTCAAGTTTTGAGAAGATTTTAGCAGCAATAACCTCTAAAGAGGTATGGAGTATTCTTCGAAATTCACACCGTGGAATTGAGAAGACGATCAGAGCTCGACTCCAGGTGTTATGTGGCAAATTCGAGATGCTGCACATGAATGAGAATAAGTCAATTTCTGAGTACTTCAACAGAATATTGACCATTGTTAATCAGATGAGAAGATATAGAGAGAAGATGAAATCTCTTCAAGTGATAGAGAAGATTCTCCGATCACTCTGTCCAAAGTTCGAGCACGTGGTTGTAGCAATAGAAGAGTCCAAGGATCTCAGTGCCATGACCACTGATGAGTTGATGGGCACACTTGAGATTCATAAACAAAGGATCAACAAGAAGACTCCCTCAAGTTCTCTAGAGCAGGCTCTTCAATCAAAGCTATCTTTCAGAGATGACAGAAATGAGCAAGAGGGGACATCACAAAGAATCCGAGGAAGAGGTCGTGGTTACAATAACCGAAGTTTTGGTTTTCGAGGAAGAAGCGGAAGAGGTCCAGCCAGAGAAGGAAGAAATTAACCACACTTTGCTCCAAGAGGAAGAGCAAGAGGTGGAGGAGGTGGTTACAACAACCGACCAGGATTTGACAAAAACAATGTTCAGTGTTACCAGTGCCACAAGTTCGGGCAATACAACAATGACTGCTGAAGTAGAGCAACAACAGAAGTCGGTGAGCAAGCAAATTTTGCCGAGCAGAAAACAAACAAAGTTGGACCTACAGTCTTGTTTGTTCACCATGGAGTCACTGAAAACCAAAACAATGTTTGGTATCTAGATTCGGGAGCCAGTAATCACATGTGTGGTAGAAGAGAGTTGTTCGTTGAGCTTGACGAGACTGTACAGGCATAAGTCTCATTTGGTGATTCTTCAAAGACTCCAGTGAAAGGAAGAGGTAATATTCTAATCAAGCTCAAGAATGGAGATCATGATTACATCTCCAATGTTTATTATGTTCCTGCCATGAAGAACAACATTTTGAGTATGGGACAACTCCTAGAGAAAGGATACGACATCAGCAAGAAAGATTGTCATCTTACCATCAAAGACAATCATGGTAATTTGATCGCTCAGGTGAGAATGTCCAAGAATCGGATGTTTGCATTGAACATCCAACATGATGTTGCGAAGTGTTTAAGTGCCATCATCAAAGACAAAGATTGGCTATGGCATTTGAGGTTTGGACATTTCAACTTTGGAAGCTTGAAGCTGTTGTCAAGCAATAATATGGTGAAAGGGCTCCCTTATATTGCTCATACTAATGAAGTCTGTGAAAGCTGCATTCTTGGCAAGCAGCACAGAACTAGCTTTGCCAAAGAAGTGAAGTGGCGAGTAACAAAGTCGCTGGAGCTAGTGCACACTGATGTGTGTGGTCCATTGAAGCCAATGCCAAATGGACAGAATAGATATTTTCTCACCTTCATTGATGATTATAGCCGGAAGACATGGGTGTCCTTTCTTAAAAGAAAGTCGGAGGTGTTCAGTATCTTCAAAGAATTTAAAGCTTTTGTAGAGAAGCAAAGCGGCTACTACATCAAGACATTGCGATCAGATCAAGGTAGAGAATATACATCAGATGCTTTCGAGAATTATTGCAAAGAGCAGGGAATCAAGCATCAAGCAACACCATCCTATACACCATAGCTGAATGGTGTTGCTGAAAGGAAGAATCGCACAATCTTAGATATGGCAAGAAGCATGTTGAAAGGAAAGGGACTGCCCAAGCAATTTTGGGCTAAAGTCGTATCATGTGCTGTGTATTTATTAAACAGATGTCCAACCAGGAGTCTTCATTCTATGACTCCAGAAGAAGCTTGGAGTTCACATAAGCCAAGTGTCAACCATCTCAGAATATTTGGATGTGTTGCGTACACCAAGATTCCAGAAGCAAGAAGAACCAAGCTCGATGATAAGGGAGAAAAATGTATCCTTGTCGGATATGGAGATTGAACAATGGGATACAAGTTGTATAATCCCATTACCAGAAAGGTGATCATGAGTAGAGATGTGATATTTGAAGAAGAAGAAGCTTGGAATTGGAATCAAGATAAAGATGTCAAAGATGCAGAACTCATTCTTGAAGATGAAACATCAAAAGCTCCAGTTGAAATCACAAGAGAAGTTCAAGATAAGCCACAAACTCCTCCACATAGAATTCCTGCACCTAGATCTCTAGTTTCTCACAGAAGTGCTGCATCATCATCATTATCATCATCATCAAATGATAGTTTTTTCAAACAACCAAGACCAATGAGAAATTTGCAGGAGATATATGAAGCTATAGAAGAAGCAGATCTGAATTTGTTCTGCCTACTCGCAGATAGTGATCCACTTACCTTCTCAGAAGCCATCCAAGAAGATAAATGGAAGAAAGCAATGGATGAATAAATTCATGCCATTGAGAAAAATGACACATGGAAGCTTACCAGTCTACCAGAGGGGCACAAACCCATTGGAGTGAAATGGATATACAAGACAAAGAGGAATGCACAAGGCGAAGTGCAACGCTATAAGGCAAGGTTAGTAGCAAAAGATTACAAGCAGAGAGCTGGAATTGACTATGGAGAGGTGTTTGCTCTAGTTGCCTGATTGGAGACTATCAGGCTAATTATTTCTTTGGCTGCTCAACACAAGTGGCAGATTTATCAACTTGATGTGAAATCTGCATTTCTTAATGGTTTCCTTGAAGAAGAAATCTATATTGAACAACCTTCGGGGTATGTTCAGAATGGGCATGAAGACAAAGTGTACAATTGAAGAAAGCACTTTATGGTTTGAAGCAAGCTCCGCGTGCATGGAATACTAGAATTGATCAGCATTTTCATGACAATGGTTTTGAAAAATGCCCATATGAGCACGCACTATATTTGAAAAAGGAAGCTGATGGAAGCATGTTGCTTGCTTGTCTTTATGTTGATAATCAAATCTTCATCGGAAACAATCTAGCCATGTTCAAAGACTTTAAAAGAAGCATGGTCCAAGAATTTGAAATGACAGATATTGGATTGATGGCTCATTTTCTCGGCATTGAAGTAGCACAAAGAAAAGATGGAATTTTTATTTCCCAAAGTGGCTATGCCAAGGAAATTCTCAAGAAATATGGAATGGAGAATTGCAATCCAGTGAACACTCCTGTAGATAGTGGAGTGGAGCTCAGAAAAGGTACGAAGACAGGTGATGTGGATCCAACTTATTTCAAGAGCCTAATTGGAAGTCTTCGCTATCTTACTTGCACCAGGCCAGACATACTCTATGGAGTATGACTGATCACCAGATATATGGAAACACCGGATTAGTCACACCTTTATACAGCAAAGAGGATTCTTCGCTACATCAAAGGTACAGTCGATGATGGTTTATAAATAAACCAACTGATAATTTCAGTCTTGTTGGCTACTCAGATAGCGACTGGGGACGTGACTTAGATGAACGAAAAAGTACTACGGGGTTTACTTTCTTTATGGGAGATACAGCCTTCACATGGTCATCCAAGAAGCAAGCCATTGTGACATTATCAACTTGCGAAGCTGAGTATGTTGCAGCCAACTCAGCTATGTGCCATGCAATATAGTTACGGAATGCGCTGAAGCATTTGGGATTTTCAGAAGAAAAACCCACCGAGATCTATGTTGATGATCGCTTAGCAATTGCATTGGCAAAGAACCCAGTTTACCATGAAAGAAGTAAGCATATTGATACCCGCTATCATTTCATCTGAGAGCATGTGAAAACTAAAGAGGTGGAACTATTTCCTTGCAAATCTCAAGATTAGCTTGCAGATATTTTCACAAAGTCATTGAAAAACGATCTATTCAACAGAATGAAGATAATGCTTGGAATGAAGAAGCATGGAGAATCAAGCTTAAGGGGGGATGTTGAAAGTAAAGCTTGATGGTAGGCAGCCACCCCCCATGTTTGACAGCCACTATTTTTGAAAGAAAGTTTGGTAGGAGGTAAAAAATGGCTGCATAAATTATAGGCTTTCACACTGTATTATTGTATGCTTTTACATTGCCTAGTTTATCTATAAATAGCTAGTATATCAAGAATGTTAAGAGTGTGGGAGAAAAGAAGAAGAGAGTGCTGTGTGTAATTTTTCAGAATTATCTGTGAGTGAACTAAATTTCAGTTTGGTTAAGCTTTTAAGCCTCTCATTGTGAATCACCAACAGTGGTTTGCACCCCACTCCCACCAGCACTATTCACTTATTATATTTTATCCTCCATATTTTCATTTCGCATAACCCACCCCACCCGCAAGGAAATAAAATATAATAAAATTAAAAATAAATAAAATAAAATCCCAATTGTTAGATACTAGTCCACAAAACTTAAGTTGTTAGGAAATGAGTCCAACAATGTATGTCAAGCTCTCTAACACCATCTCTCACGTGCAACATCGTCTTGCACATGGAGATGCAAACATCCTTACATACAAAAAAAAAAAAAAAAAAAAAAAAAAAGGAAAAAAAAAAGAAGAAGAAGAAGAAGCAAACAAGGACCAAATGCAACTGGAAAGATTGGAAGCCAAGACCTCCTCCAACTTGAGTTCTAATACCATGTTCGATTACAACTAGTCCCCAAAGCTTAAGCTGTTAGGATATTAGCCCAACAATGAATATCAAGCTTTCTAAAATCCATGACTCATACCCAACCTATCTAAGAGCACTTAGCTCAATTTCGTATAATCATTTCTAGACAACATTGGGATGCCATCCTACCCTATCTACACCTAATTGGACTAGTATTATTTAAAATTCATCAATGCAAGAGTCATGCGCCAAGGAACTAATAGTGAGATGAGATCTATCAAAAATTGCACCTTATTGTGAGATCTATCAACTGCAACAACCTCTCCTTTGTCCTTCATAAGGATAGCAATTGCAGTTGTTTTCCCTCCAGGAGCTGCATACATATCCAATATCCTGTCTCCCTGTTAAGGATCTAAGGCACAAAAAGAAAAATAAACAACAGGATATATCACACAAAAAGGAAAGAAAGAAAAACAAAAACAAAATAAATAAATAAACAAATAAGACTATAAAAAAACAAAAAAGACCAAAGACAAGAAAAACTTACAGACCCAATTACCCTCATCCCCATTGTCCTCTAGCTATCACATTTTTTCTCCTTGTAAAATAAGACTATATTCTCTTTCACATACACAAAACAAGAGCCTAAAAAGATCTCTCTTTTCCATTTTTGATAGAAATTGTACTTTTGTATTGTTCATCAATTTTAATGGGTTTTCAATTTCTTTACTTTCTCAATTTACAGGTGTCTTCTTTCCTTGTGTTGTTACAATGTATATATATGCAACATTGAAACCCTAACACCTCCTGAAACTGCCTTATTTATTAGAAGAAAAAAAAACACCTCCTGAAACTGCTTTCCTAACTCACCTAGTAATACCTTTTTAATTCTCAACATCCATTGTCTGCAAGGTCACAGGCCCCTCACCCTTTAAACACTCCTCCACTCTAATATGAAGAATTAGAAAGAAACTCAACGAACTCACTCACTCAAGGAACGTGTCTCCAATGTAGAGACATCAAAATTAACTTAACCCAAACACTCCTCAGCAGCATGCTTCGGCTTGGATGAAATATATTGCTTGGAAAAGAATGGGCCCACCAACACAACTGTTCACAGATAACCCATCTACAATGGGCACGCTCTCTGAGAGGTGAATGATGAGAAAGGGGTGCCACATGGATATCTTATTTTTCACTATATTTTAGTAAATTAGGAATGGATAATTGGAAAATTGAGAGGTAGGTTAAACTTAAGTTTGTAGAACTTAAATTGCATGGGACCTTTAATTTGTGTTTATTTGAAAGAAGTGCTATTTATTTTTCTTAAATGGTCAAGATAGTTCAATTTTTTCATAATTTTTTATTTTCATATTTTTATTTTTTAGTTTTAATATGCCAAAGTAGATATTCTAGGAAAAATAGTGTCAACATCAATAAAATTGGATTGGTAACTAATGCAGCATGATTTAACTTGTGAGATTTAAAGGAATTTATGCAATTTCTACATCTTGGCTGTAACAAGAATGTTTGGCAACAAACAATGATTCAGAATAAGCAACAATACATCCATCACAAAAAGGGGAGAGGAGAAAGAGGGCAACAATATATATATATATATATATATTAGTCAAAATAACTATGATGCTAAGATAATTACCAAGGGCATGTCCGGTGATAATGCTTGGCAGATTTTGCAGAAATATTTCCCTCTCCAGAACATCTGAAAACCAAAAAGTTCAAGAAACAGATGATGAAGAACAATAAGTACTTTGTAAACAGCAAGCATGAAGCTTGAATTATATACTGTAAGCAATAGTCCCAATAACACAAAGATACTCAAAATGGAAATGAAACAACATTAAAATGGTTTATAATATTTACTCTAAACATAACAACCTAAAAAAGGTGTCAGCTAGCTTGGCAAGTAAAGTCTCTTGAAGGTGGCACCGTTAACCTAGGATAGAATCTCATCTTCATTCATAGACCTCAACATGCTCAAGTAATTAACAATTAAAAATTTATTAACATTTATATAAGTTTTTGTTTTGTTTACAAACATTTCCATATATTTTCCAATTCTTTTGTCATTTCACTGATGCTCTTGAAATGTCTCTGTTCCGAAATGTTTCAAAAAAATTTTGTTTCCAAGCTAACTAAAACAAAATACCGAAAGGAATTTTTAATCCTTGGCTCCTATCCTGCCTACCATAATGATCCACCTTCCAGGTAACATTGAAACAAACAGGGAGACTACATTATAGTGAATAACCAACATGGGGGAAATCAAGAACTAATGAACAAAAGGATTTGTACTGCTAAACAGATGCATGTGCCTTACACCATTACAAGTTGAGAAACCACTGAAAAGTGAGGGGGTCTAAAACTCCATAATTAAATGTCACACCAAATCATTTTGTTGCAATAAAATCATAATCAATATCACATATGCTCGCCATATTTTGGGGGGGGGGGAAATTATACCATGAAAGGAAGGTAGCTCAAATACTCTGTTTTTCATATCCATAGCAATTCCTTGTAAAACGCGAAACATTCCAGCTCTTGACATCATTGTCGTTCCTTGGCCAATATATAATCCACTTCGTTTAGAAAAATAGGGATCTGCAACAACAATAACATAAGTCAACCAGAACATTTCAAGAAATATTTGCATAAATACGAACAAAAGATAAGAATAAATTCAACTGTTATGCATGAAGCAAAACAGATATAAATGCATGAAACTACCACCACTACACACCCATCCCAACTACCACCTCAAACCACCACCCTGCAAGCCCCTTGCCCAGCAATCACCACTGCCTTGCCCCATCCTCATGACCCTCTCCCAGCTTTACCCTCCACAATGCAACCCCAACCACCCCCCCAAGTCTTCCCCTCTTCATGAATCTGTATAATGAAAACTGTGTTCTCAAATCCCTGAACCTATTATTATATGCTCTCATATGGATATAAAATATGTCAGTCAAGGACAGTGAAAAAATAGAACAAAGAAATTAGGACCTTCATGAAGTGAAGTCAAAACAAGAGCAATTGAAAGAAGACAAAAAGACAGTGGATAACTAGAGAATCGAAAAATAAGATGAAACATAGCTGAAAAAGAAAAAAAAAAAAAAACAAAAGAAACCCTCATGACCCCCTCCCAGCTTTACCCTCCACAATGCAAACACCACCCCCTAAAGTCTTCCCCTCTTCATGAATCTGTATAATGAAAACTGTGTTCAATCCTCAAATCCCTAAACCTATTATTATATGCTTTCATCTCAATATAAAATATGTCAGTCAAGTACAGTGAAAAAATAGCACAAAGAAATTAGGACCTTCATGAAGTGAAGTCAAAACAAGAGCAATTGAAAGAAGACAAAAAGACAGTGGATAACTAGAGAATTGAAAAATAAGATGAAACATAGCTGAAAAAGCAAAAAAAAAAAAAAACAAAAGATGAAACACAAAGTGAAGAAGATGAACATATGACGCTGAAGAAGATGGAAACACAACAGTGATGAGAAAGTTTTTAAAGCAAATGAACAAAGAGAAAAAGAAATTAGAAGATGGTACAGCAATGAAGAAGATGAAAAAGAGGATGGAACCATTCCAATAATCTATCAAGATGCAACAACCTTGTTCCTTGCTAATCTCAAGTTCTAGTCTCCTCCATTCTCTTGTCAAATTATAACCAAAACTTGCTTGTATGCAGCAAAAACTGCATTCTCGGTCCTGAGCTTTTATCATTGCTAGGTGCACTCCAAGCATGGGAATGTGGCCATGTGGATTTGAGCTTAAGGTTGGCCACTTCATAAAAATAATGTAGAAGGCATGGTCTGCACCCAATATACCCCTCCTGTCACCTTACATTGGCAGCACCAACATAAGGTACCAGCTTTCTTCTTTCCCTTTCAAGTTTATCTTTCTGCAGTATTGCAAGGTTTACTAAAAGCTTATTGATCAACTATGTAGAAAAGCAGAAAATTGTTTCGTATAAAGAAGAATCAACTTTTTTCTAAATACTAAAGAAAAGTTATGATTGCACAAAAGGCTTCAAGAGAATAATAAATTTTAAAAAAAAATTATGGGAAGCAAATTTCTGGCAGCTATAGTTTGCTTTATGATCTCACACTGCCCCAAAAACAAAGAGCATATAATATATTTATCACAACCTCCATTTTTAAGGACAGTGCATTGACATCTAATGTTAATGTAATAACCCAGCCCTCGTGTATGTTTCTAGTATACTTTCAGTCCCACATTCTGTGCATTTAAATGTTTATTATGAAATTAAGTTTAATTAAGTGAATCCTATGATTATGGATGTATATCTGTCTAATAAGAGAAAAATCTGTCATAATTATTATGTTTGAATTAGAAATTGGAAGCCGTAGAGACTTAAATTGATGTTATATTTGAGTTCAATATGATTTTTAGATCATAATAGGATTTTCTGTGAAATTTTGATTTGGAACGATTAAACTGATTAAAATTTGTCTTTATTCACCTTTATATATATATATATATATATATATATATATCTGTGTGTGTTCCTTACATCTTTGACTTAGAGCCATTACTCAAAATATTTCCTGAGAAAAAGAATTAGGGAAGAAGAGGGTTTGAGAGGAAGAGGATACACTTATCAAGAAGAAAAATTGGAAAATTGAGAAGGATTGTAGGGTTTAAAGCTCAAGGTATGTGTATTTTGCTTGAATTAAGTCCTCTCTTGAATATGAGTTAGATTTTCTTTGATAATCATGCAAATTAGGATGTGTGTTGGTTAAATTAAAAAGATGTTGTATCCTTGGATTGATTTGGAGTTAAATTGAGTTATATGAAGAGGAATTTCATTCTATTCCTTATCTTTACATGTTTGAACTCATTTATGGATTTGGATGATTTGGATGATTACATTTATATTTGGGAACTTTATAGTAGGGATTCAAAGTGTTTAACTGATGTTTATGAATTGCAAGAAATAGAAGAATCAATTCATATTGAGAGTGATATGTGTTTGTAATTCTTATTCACATGATTTTTGGACCATAGTCTAGCAATTTATAGACTTATTTTGAGCCTTGTAAATACTCACCAAAAATGAGATTTTGCTTGAATTTCGGACTGCTCTCACTGGGGGAATCGCCGCACGTGTGGGGGTCATGGCCGCACGTGCGAGAAATGATGGATTTTTGGGTTTTGGCTACTGGTAAAAAGGCACGTGCGGGGCTTCCCATCTGTACGTGAGGGACCAACTGCCGCACGTGCGGGGCTCACAGCTGCACGTGCGGCCCATGCTGTAAAATGTTATCTGCTCTATTTTACGTGCTCAACCCTCTAATATTTTTGAAATCAGTATTTGATGCCTTTCGATGTTTGTAAATTCATTCAAAACAAAGTGAGTCAGAAAATGATTTAACAAGGAAAAAGAATTAATTTGTGACTTTGTGTGTGTGTAGGACACACTCCAGGAGGAATTAGCGCTCCGCCACAACGTAGTGAGTAATAGTACTATGGATGTACATTTATTTACCGTTAATAATTATTGTTATTAACGTTCTATTCTCTGCTAATAATTGCGTTAACATGTATGCTGATTGGGAATCAGTGTGAACTTATGTAAACGTTGAAGGAATTTGTGTACATCAGTATGACTCTGGAACTACTCTGCATTCCGGTTACGGTTAATGGTTATCATTAATGTGCTATAACCTGTAAATTACTTATGACTCTGCATAAGAATTGCATACAAACTATTAATATTGTGGAATTGGTTGACAGAAAGAAATTGTGAATATAACCCCTGCTTACCGGGAACATGATATTTTGAATGGGAACATGATATCCCGAATGTCCTAGTTGGGACTCCTACAGTCTGTTTGGTTCAACACATGTCTTATGACATAGATATCTGCCTAGAATGGATCATCAGAAGGAATAATCAGATAGAGCTACGGGTTATTTTATATGTTAGTGACTGTTGAGAAACCATGCTAAATATCGGATTAACCTATGAATGACTCAACCTGAGGAAAGAATTGAATATCAATAACATTGTTATATGACTCACGCTATGATGTGAATTGTTCCGCCCCTACAAATAGTACTGTAAGGGTACATGTGATATCTATGAAACACGCTTTACTTATTGCTAATAATTATCATTAGTATCCTGTTAAACGCAAACTAACTATGTAAACTCATGTGAATGATTGAAAGAATCATTGTGCCTCTGTATAACCCTAAGACTAGTCTGTTCTGATGATATCTAGACCAGAGGCCATTCTGTATATTCTGTTAGGCCAGAGGCCATTCTGTATAATCTGCTAGGCCTATGGCCGTTCTGTATAATCTGCTAGGCCTATGGCCGATCTGTATAATCTGTTGGGCCTATGGCCGATCTGTGTAATCTGTTAGGCTGGAAGTTATTTTGTACAATCTGTTACTATCTGGGCCTGAGGCCAATCTTTTGGATCTGTTGGACGTGAGGCCCTTCTGCATAATACTGGGCTTAAAGCCTCTCTGTATGAAAATTGGGCCCAAGGTCATTATGAAAATGTTTACCAGATACGAGCAATTATTTGACCACCGCACTTACATACGTTATAAATAGTACAATTCAAGTATAATCATTAAATTATTGAGTGCTATTATTCACTGAGCCTTTCTCACCTTGTGTTATGTCTGTTTCTGTAGGCAATCAACCTGAAGGTCGGTCTTAGTTCGGCTTTGGTCACCCCTTCTTGGTCAAGCCATGTGGAGAAGCTTATGCATTTTGTGGGGTTCCCCCAATGACCCCTAGTTTGGTCCTTAACCTTTTATCTAATGTGACTAGTCGTGTATAATTTCCTGTACCAATATTTTTGTTGTATGCCCACGTGTGGGGCTAGTTTTGTATATATATACTCATATGTGTTATTGTGTGAATGCATATATCTGCTTCTTGTATATTTGTCTATCATATGAGGAATTGTTGAATGGCACATTGAGATCCTGGCATATAGGTGTGAGCTCGATGGTTATTAATTTATATTATTTTATGTTATTATTAAATGCTTCCCTTCAGGCCCCATATGTTGTATATATATATATCATATTATCTGTCCGTTCTGAAGTGGTCATGCCGAAACTTTTAGTGGCGGGTTTGGGGCATGACAAGTGGTTTCAGAGCACGAGTTGCTATCTCACACACGAATCCATTGAGCTTGAGGATGTCCAGAAAAGACTTAGGCATCGTGCATGACATCCTTGGTGCATATGAAATAGATTAATGGCAACGATATTTGTGTGTGTAATATCTGCAATTATGTGTATTGTATATCTTTTGAGTATATTGTGACTGATTGTGATGCAGAATATAGTGAGCATAAAAATGGAAGATCCGGAGGATTTTACCTCCGTCTGCCTAGACAGAATGAAAAGGGAAATTGTACAACCTAAGTAAAACGAATTGCAAGAAAAAAAAATTAAATAATAAAGAATAAATAATTATGAGAACTATTGCCTCTATTTATCTTAAATAGATTAGTGGACAATACAAGACACGCAGGTGGGATTCAATCAAAAGCGTGCACTGCATGTGGTGAGGGTTCGAGCTTGGTAAAACAATTTATATGCAAATGGTGAGATGAAATGTGTGTTATCGGTTGATAGTTATCTGTGGGGAACGATGACCATATAATTGTGCTTTCTAGCATCTGTTTAGATGAATTGATTAAACTCTAAGTATTGCATATTTCAAGGACTTGTTGACCAAATGAAATGATATATGTGATGCTCTAACTTTTATGATATAGCCATGTCTTTCTTGCCACAACAAAGTTTAGACTTGTGATTTTGAGAAGTTATTGTGCTTAGATATTTTGATAAATTGGGTTTTGCATGATAGCTCGATTGTATTGAGTATGAGTGGTTGTGAGAAGAAGCTATGCATAAAGTGATCCCTCTTAGAATTGTGTAAGAAGTTAATTAAATGTGATTTTGTTCCCACTGATTGTTTAAGTGGACAAGGGAATGACCTACACATTAGCTATACTTGGAAGTTGATTATTGACCTTGGAACGACATGTAATTAATATGATTTCGCGAACCGAGAAAATTACCGATGACTTCTGATGAGGAATTATTGATGGTGTTTAACATAATTGTGTCTGTTTATAGTAAGGAATCTGTAATCTGTACTCTGTACTCTGTAATCTGTAATCTGTAATCTGCTTTGTTTATGTGTAATCTGTAATCTGTAATCGGGATTTCTTATAAGAAATGGTTGAATGACATGAAGGACCCCACCCATATTACTTGTCTGCTCATATGATACTCGTAAAAAAGATAGGTAATTATTGACTAATTTGGAATCGAAACTAAATGATTGGTAATCTGATAAGTTACCGTAAGAATTAAAATCCTGCCTACGTATATACTGACTTAAGATTAAGAAATCATGTCTATGATATATTTCTGTGTAAATCTGTAAATGTTGGATATTGCAAATTGCCAATTTAGTCCTCTATTTTATATTAGAGGCTATGATATGAATTGTTCTGTGAGATATAGTGAACTTTGTTAAAACAAATGGACCTAATAGAACCTACGTACGTGGAGTAACTGGATACTTTGCTTATGTTAATTGACTGGGCCGAACGACTGGTCTATAATTTTCGTAAGAATTATCTGAACAGTGAAATACTTAAATGATTAAAAAGGGGCCAAATTAGTTTGTGCTGTAATAAGAAGAAATGCCTATTAAGGGAGGATGTTACACCCTACTGTTATGGCTGATTAATTAAACATGATTTTGAATTTGATTTCTGGCCTTATCTTTGGATGGCTTCCTTTGCTCGGAAAGATGGTTGTTCTACCTGTTTCTGTTACTCAGATCCGAACTTCTAATAGTGTGATTAAGTGTTTATCATGGCACATCTGCATGAATTTGCAAAAGTATATGATGCTAGTTTTGATATTATCATAACTGTTTGATTCGGAGCATGATTTTCCTTGTGTTACCGTGCGTAGAAGTAATGCTATGAGGAAGTAACGACGTGTATTGTGACCCTTCTTTCTGTTGTACTGATCTTGACAAGAACTATTACATATAATTCTGAACCAATATAATGGTATGCCTCTGAAATGCTTTTGAAAATAGGGGAATACTAAGAATAGATTGTGAAGCTAATGGCCATGTACTTAAGAGACTTATTTGTGACTATTGGAAAGAAGTATACTTTGTTAAATAGGCAGAACCTTGTTGGTGGGCTCTGATATCCGATTTCATTATGCATAATATGATTTGAATTTAACTACATAATTAATTTCTTTTGAACACGATATCTAGCTTTAGTTAACAACTCATCTCCAAGTGACTTGTAATATGTGATTTACCAAGTAATGAGATTTACATATGAACTATTAATACTGGGTCGATTTGGTTGAACATAGTAAAGAACATTTTTTTTTATTATCGTGGTTGAGATTAATGTATGCTATGGGACTATATGAATTATGTGCTGAAAGAAACAGTTTCTACTATATTTCTGTGTTTGAGAATTGCATGCTTCTGTATTTGAAAATTGACGCTATGGAACTTTTTGACAAGAAAATATTGTGATTATAAACCCTACCTACTAAGGATTTTATGCCTTAAACGTCCTGCTATGGACTATGGTAGTCTTATCTTATTCAATACAGGATCCTATGAAATAAATATATGGAGTTGTTTTCTCTTGTTCTATATGCCTGAAATGGACATCGAAACGACTAATTGAATAAAGCTCTGAGGAGCTTATTATGTTGAGACCTTTCGAATAACTATGATATATATCGGGTTAACCTGTGACTTGTTCGAACTGAAGAATTACGTGAACATCTATAACAGAATGGGGCAATGATGTGAGAGTGGGATTTCTAATCTGTTACATGCTAAAACAAGTTTGAGGGACCAAACTTATTTAAGGGGGGGAGAGTATAATAACCCGACCCTCGTGTATGTTTCTGGTATACTTTCAGTCGCGCATTCTGTGCATTTAAATGCTTATTGTGAAATTTTATGTGAAATTAAGTTTAATTAAGTGAATCCTATGATTATGGATGCATATCTGTCTAATAAGAGAAAAATCTGTCACAATTATAATGTTTGAATCAGAAATTGGAAGCCGTAGAGACTTAATTACCTGAAATTGATGTTATATTTGAGTTCAGTATGCTTTTTAGATCATAATAGGGTTTTCTGTGAAATTTTGATTTGGAACGATTAAACTGATTAAATTTTGTCTATAGTCACCTTTAGATATATATATATATATATATATATAGGTGCAAAGGAGGAAAGGATTTTTTTTTGTTGTTAATCATTGTTTGAAAGGGTGTCCTTTACTACTATAATGGTTATCTGGACGCTAGACGTTGCAATTTAAGAGATGTGTAATTTCTTCATGTGGCGAAAAAAAAAGTATAGACACAAGTTGGATGTCTTGTCTTCTTATTGGTTACCTTTTTCTTTTTTGGGATTCTCGTATTGATTTCTTTAATTTGATGATAAAACTTATTTCAAAAACTGGGTTGTTATCAGAGTTCTGCAAAATCGCTTTGGATGGGAGGTATAAGTTTCTTGAACACCTTTTGCAGTTGAATTTTTGGTTAATGAACAAAACCCTTTTCAGTTTAGTAACCTAGAGGGTCGCACACAATGGAGACACATACATAGAGACATGTATTTATAGATAAAACTATGTTGTTTTGATGTCCACTTAGAAGAATACTAGTTGGCTATGTGCAGTTGGATCGAGAAATCTGTTTTGACTGGACATGTTTCTCTGCCCATGTTATTGTTTGATTATTGTTTTGTGAGACAGTAGTTGTTGTCTTTTTCAATTGATCTTGCTCTGGATGTTGTTGGGATACTGAAATGTTGAGTTACTTTTTGTCACAGTTTAGGGAATCTTGTTGAGGTCTTGTATCAACCATGATTTACACAGCAATCGACACCTTTTATCTAACGGATGAGCAGCTACAAAATTCACCTTCTAGGAAAGATGGCATAGATGAAGCAACTGAAACAACTCTCAGAATCTATGGTTGCGACCTCATCCAAGAAAGTGGCATTTTACTTAAACTGTATCCTTCATTAGTTATTGTTGTTGTTGATGCTGTTATTGTGATAATTAGCATAATTTTATGCAATACTTCCATGGGGTTGCCTGAAACAGGAATTTATCCAATCCACAACAGTGTTACTAGAAAATGCTAACGCCCTGTATTGAAACACATGTTCCGAATTATAATACACTTTTGTTCAAAAATGGTGAATTTAATGATCCTAAGCAATCCCATAATTTTTTTCTATGTTTTTCGTTAAAAGTTCTCCGTAATAGGAAAAAAGTTAAACATAATGAACTGAAATCTAGATGGAGACTATAATATATTGGAGGTCAATTTAAGAAGTCTACCTTATCGTACCACATTTTAGCTCATGTGGTGTACCATGTTCTGATTCCCATTCCTAGTAACTAGAACAATCCGCGTTCTAGGTAACATAGATCCGCAGCAACCAGTATGAATACTATAAATGCAATGTGTCTTTTCCCATATTTAGCTGGTGTTTTTCTTTAATCATATTCTCTGCAGACCTCAAGCAGTAATGGCTACTGGTCAGGTTCTATTTCATCGATTCTACTGCAAGAAATCATTTGCTCGTTTTAACGTGAAGGTTTCATTCTTGTTTCATTGATTTTCTAAATTCAATTGGAAACAGGACAATGTTTACATGCTTTCTGATGTGGGATCTGATCTTATTTACTTGCAGAGAGTTGCTGCTAGTTGTGTTTGGCTTGCATCAAAACTTGAGGAAAGTCCTAGAAAAGCAAGGCAGGTACTCATTGTTTTCCACAGAATGGAATGTAGGAGGGAGAACTTACCAATAGAACATTTGGACACATTTCCTAAGGTTAGATTCCCTTCTCGTTATATTAGGACATTGTACTGTCAAAAACATGAATATTTTTGTCTATTTAGTAATGAAAGGTATCCATTTTTTTTTTCTCCATCTTTGCTTTTATTGTTTTTTTGAGGATTAAGTATTTAGTTTTGGAAGACCCAGTCACTCACGGAGCCTGATGCGTCTTCTTCTCAAAGCAAGTTGTTATCTTTGGAATTGAGTTTTGCCTGTTTACAGAAATATGCAGAGTTGAAAATGGACCTGAATAGAACAGAGAGGCATCTTCTGAAGGAGATGGGTTTCATCTGCCATGTCGAACATCCTCATAAATTTATATCAAACTACCTTGCAGCCCTTGAGACACCCCCAGAACTGAGACAAGAAGCTTGGAATCTTGCAAATGACAGGTAGCTCTGAATTATTAATATAATTTTTTTGTACCTATTTCAGTTTGATGGTTCAATCATTTAACTTGGCAGCTTTAAACGCAACCCTAATAAATCTGACTTGATGCATGGGGTAAAGTCTGTGGCTTTTATAAGTTCCTGAGTTTGCTTTTCTACTTAGAAGTTTTGTTGCAATCCTTTTGACTTGCTTCTTGTTGAGCCTTGATGTTGATGATGAACTGTTTTCGATATTTTTTGTCCCATTAGATTGGTTTATTTATTTTCCAAAAACTGTATAGCTCTCAGCAATAGTTGAATGCTTGAATTTAACATGTAATTCTAAAATTAACATGTTTTGTGGTTTAACAAAGACTAACTTATGGTGCATGCTTGAATTTGAGTATAAGGGAACTACTTTGTGAAAATAATGTGAAATGATAGGTCTATACTTAGGATGATGCTCCCAACATCCTACCAACCATGGATAGTGGTCAATTTTTTACAATGTGAAATTTGATATGCTTATTTATTCATCTCTATCATGTATTGATGATTTCTCACCATTTGGCTTTTCTGTATACCTTTGACATTTTGGATGGATTTGTTTGTGCTTGTGCATAAGCAAGCAAGTTTTGTTTTGGTTTTGAACCCCAGCTTTGTATAAAAACACTTTTTATCTGCTTGTTTATATACTATCACTGTGTTAGAGAAAAAATTATGTTAATTTGTTTTTCCATTGAGGTTCTTGGACAGATAGGCACATGTGATTATTGATAGGGGTTGCTTAAAACTACAAGGAGTGAAAGCTTAGCGGCTGTTTTTTAGAACTGAAAATTCTACACAGCAAATTTTAGCACCAAAAGTAGATTTAAAAGGTGAAAGGATGAGACAGAATAACATGTCCTTAATGTGAAGTTGTTGAATAAGGCAATTATAAATGAGAAATGGTTCATTATTTATTTTTGATGGTGCATTATTTTGTTCATGTGGCTACTTGTCAAAGAACAGAAAAATTATTCTTGTTATTCCTACTATACCTGTTAGCACTCGTTTGTTTAGGTGCTTCTTCATTGACTATCCTTTTTCTTGATCAGTTTGCGTACGACTTTGTGTGTGCGGTTCAAGAGTGAGGTTGTGGCCTGTGGGGTTGTATATGCTGCTGCTCGTAGATTCCAAGTACCCCTTCCTGAGAATCCACCGTGGTGGAAAGCATTTGATGCAGATAAATCTGGGATTGATGAGGTTTGTAGAGTTCTTGCCCATCTTTACAGCCTTCCTAAGGCAAAATATATACCTGTCTGTAAGGATGGGGATTCATTTACAACGTCTAATAAATCGTGGGATTCACCATCTCAGCCAGTTCCAAAGGTGAATTCTCATTCTCTCTCTGTCTCTGTCTCTGTCTCTCTCACTCACACACACACACTCGCACTCTAGCCCAGTGTGCTTGCATCCATTTGCAGAGGAGAAAAAGTTAATAAAAAGAGAAGTTTCTTCTGTGGTGGTGCAATTTCCTTTGTTATATTTTGTACAGCTGTAATGGTTGCCAACATTGGCAGAGCCACATATTGCGTGCCCTTCATTTTTTTGAAAATTATACTTTTACACTGAATTAAAAATGTTTTTCAATTTGCTCTTTTGAAGTTCCAAATATGTCGCTTCAATCTTTCTACCTCCTATTTTGTTTACTTTTCCTTTCCAACAAAATCTTTGCACTTGCCACTTTAAATGTTAAATTTTTCTACATTAAATTTTTCTTATAAATTTTGTCTCTGTGTGCGCGCGTCTTGATGTAATTTTATCTTTATTTTTTACGGACGTGTGATTGCGTTTTAAATTATGATGATTATCATGTTTAGAAATTGAACAAAAAATTAAATTAATAATAAAAGAATTTCAAAAAGGAAAAATGATTTGTTAACTCAAGAACAACTCTAAAATATAACTTTGGAATCACGTTGATCTTTAGTCATTCTACCACCAAATGAAAATTGGGTTCAGTTGGATTGTGATAAATGATGCCAAGGCTTCAATTTAATGTTGCCCCCCTAGCCAAAATCCTGGCTCCGTCACTGTTTGTCAACTTTATCACTACTTACTGCATGTCATTAATGAATGGGATGGGTTTTATTTAATTTCTTAGGAGAACAAAGAAAAACACAAAAGTGGGAATCAGTAAACTTCATTTCTTCTTTAGGAAGCTTGGTTAGTGATTTGATTTTTCCTCATTCCTCTTTTGCTTAGGAAGGTTCGCTAAGTGTCCCGCCTGCAAATAATGATACCAGTACTCCCAAGGCAGCTCCGGCCACAGCTAATCTGGAATCTGGTGGGTCCAAGGGTGCACTGATAAAAGCAGCACTTGACAAGTTGAAAGAGTCTAAGAAGAGTGGTGATGATTCTGAAAGCGTGCCTGTTGAGGCAGAGGCAAAAGAAGAACCTGTATCCAAATTGAAATCTGAGCGTAAGATGGACGCAAGTGGGGAAAGGAACAAGGAGAGGGATTGGGATAGGGAGAGGGACAGGGAAAGGGAGAAGGAGAGGGACAGGGACAGGGACAGGGAAAGGGAGAAGGATAGACTAAAGGTACGGGACCATGATAGGGGAAGGGATTCTGACAGGGAACGAGAGCGAGAGGACATTGAAAAGGAAAGAGAGAAAGTCAAGGACAGAGGTCACCGTTCTAAGGACAAAGGAAAGGATTCAGGTTAGTTTATGAATTCTTGACAGTTATCACTTTTGAAGCATGGACACCTCCACGGACACACCCCAGACATGTGTTGGACACGCTAGAGGAATTGCCCCAACTTTTTTATTTTTTTTCCTTTTCTAGTTGGACACATTAGGGAAACATGATGTCCCATTTTTTAATTTATTTTTATCAAGTAAAATACCTATCATTGATAAATTTGATGAGATTAAATTTTTGACATAAAATAAATATATAAAATTGGGCTAATTACACATACCTGTTTTCTAGTTTATGAAATTACACTAATCTCCCTTCCTGAGGTCAGGGGAGGTCCATGTAATTAACCCTATAAAATTATATGTTTTGCACGTGTTCCCCGCATGTTATCGTGTATTTTTTGAAATTTTGTATATCTGTCGTGTCACATGTCTGTGCTTTTTAGGTCATCACCAAATCCCTGCAGTTACAATTCTATTTTACATTATTTTTTGGGTGCTACTTTCTCTCAATTGAAGTTGTATATCTGATCTGTCATCTTTATAAATGCAGGAGGGCATTCAGATAAATCGAAGCATCATTCATCTCGAGGTTGGTATTCTGTTTTTCTTCAAATGTTGATTCTAATCTATGTAGCACGGACACGGACACGCGACACGACACGGACACGACACGGACACGCAAAAACGCAAATTTTTAAAAAATAGGGGACACGACACGCTGGGGACACGTTTAATATATATATATATTTTTATATTTTTAGTATTTAATGAATAGTTTAAAGATTTTTTCACGAATATTATACCTTCTAAGAGCATCTCCAACGATAGTAGGCATTTTACCTATCTAAATATTACTATAAAGTATATATTTTATTTTGCCTATTAACTGTTTTATGTTTTTACTTTAACCATGCTCTTTATTTTAGCTATTTATCCAAATATTATTAATTTTATAGAATGCCACGTCAACAACAAAGATGGAGGGAAATGATCCTAATGATTGAATACATTTTGCCTAGCGTTGAAGGCTAACTACATGTAGCTAGTGAATATGAGTTGAGCCAAAATGCCTAATGATATGCCTAGTGCATTAGAATTGAAAAAAGTGAATCACACTAGGCATTTTAACTAACAAGTATTATATACCTAGTACATTGGAGATGCTCTAAATGTATTCATGTTAGGTGTGCTTAAAAATCTTACAAAAATTGCTTAAACTATTAAAAGAATTCGGTGAAAACCAAAATATATGAAAAACGAAAAATTAAAATTTTCTGAAAAGTGAATTCTTAAAATTGAAAACAAACAGAGTGATTATATTTCAAACAACATAAAAATTAACCAACACAAAATAAGTTATATAACGACTTTGCCTTTCAAATGGAATAACGTCTTCAATTGTCTTTATTTGAAACGCAATTTAAAATTTAAGATTAAATGTATAACAATTAAAATGTTAAGATTAAGTAATACAAGCCCCAAATTATAAGAACTGTTAGTGTAATTCACCTCCAAACAATTCAATAATAAATTCGATGATGCACTTTTTCATGCAGTAAGTATGATTTAGTGGAGTATAAACATGCCTTTTATTTTACTAATCCCTTTAATCTGTATAGTCACAGAGTGGTTACACAATGGTCAAATTTGTTATCTAAAGTAAATTTGTTGGTAGAGAATGAAAAGGGGGAAAAAGAAAAAGAAGTGTTTGGCAGACGTCATCGTAAGATCAGCAATGATAGTGAATTTGGTAGAATGAAATTGAGATAGATAAATTTGAAATAATTTTGGTGAATATAATTATTCGAAATCCTTCATAATGATTTTTGTTTTTGAGTTCTCAATTCAATCATCTACTTTAATTAATTATAAAACTACCTCCATGATACAGGGAACCAACCAACCCACAAAAACGAGCAGATGTTGAGTCCTAACTTTTTTATAGGAAAAGTAAATGATTCTGTATTAGATGTGATCACAAAATTAAGATTAAGAGCTGTCCAGTTCAATTAGAGCTACGGAAATGTTAATGGGAATTCATCTCGAGAATGCGAAAGGCCACATTTGCAGCTTATGTTAGGGAAAACTGTCTCTGCTAAAGAACCAACATGTGCCATCAAAGAGATTCATATAATAGCAGCAAAAGAGCTTGATAACAGAGGCAGTAACTATTAGTTTGAAATCTAGAAAAAATATTTATTGTGCAGATAAATGACTGCCATACAAGTATGGACTTACAGATTTAGGATCGATGGACATTCCAGATAAGGATGCCCCCACGATCTTGAAAGATACCTGCATTAATGAATCAAAATATGAGCACTTTGTCAAAAAGCTAATTCTTCAATATAACAGGCTCAACTGCCATGATGAGTTTTAACAACCATGTACTTGTTCAATATCATCTGCTCTCGTTGGTTAGTAAAATCCAAATTAAGTCAGTTTAAATTTTAATCATTTGATGGCCATTAAAGCCAGATTCATTGGTTTCTACTTGTAAGTTAAATCTTCTCTGAAAAATCTTTTTTCCTCTCTGTTCCTTTCTATAAATTTGCTTTATTAAAAGTTGGGATTCGTGGTCATTAGAGGGGTAGAAAATGTACCGACACATTATCTCTTCCATGGCAATAAAGTTATAAATGTCTGTTAGTATCTTGCTGACTAATGGAGGAACGAAAAAGTGTCAACAGAAGGACCATATATTAGCCCTTTCCTTTTTGTTGCAGCCATCATGTGGAATCTAAAGCCTACTTCAAGCATCCATAGTTCACATTAACACTAAAGAAACAATAGCAAAGCACATCCAGACCAGATAACAAATAACACCAAGAAGCAAAATCAGTAAATACTGAAGATTTCCAGAATTTATAGTAACTCCAACTAAAAGTTGAACTGACAGAGAGTAGACATACTTTAGCATAATTGTATGCCTGCCAGCAAAATGGCTCCTCAAGGTCAACTGGTGGGAGGTCCTTGTTCATTTTTTCCATTAAAAAGTCCTCTACATTTACCACATTATTAGTGGCCTCTGTTTCCATATCACTATCTTCATCAACTACGCTTCCCAAGACTGACCCAGAGGAAATCAATCTTTGAGTCTGCCGTGGTGCAAACCTAACTGTTCCAGGAAAAGTTGCCTCAATGCTCTTCCCAGTAATACCTCCTCCACTTGTTATAATCTTCCACTCAACCGAATGCTCAGTGGTTGAAACGGTTCCAACAGAAGGCGTCCCATCAAATGAAACCAACCTTCTCCTAGGAAATGGCATAGTCACAGTGCAGAACTCCATTGTAAGAGGAGATTTATAACCTTCCATCAGGTTTAAATAGAAATGCACCTTCATTTTCTGCGACCATTGACAGCTGGTAGAATCCTTTTATTGGAGGCCCAATGCCACAAAGTGCTTAATAACGCATTAAAACAAAATTACCCAATGGTGGTGAAAACATCAGGGCCTGCTTACCTACTCCATGTTCCGGTACTTGGGCATAAGGATGAAATGATAAAACCTCAATGCGAGCATTGTCCAACCCAATCGTGGGGAAAGAAACATCAGGCAATCCTTCTAATTCTGCTCGGCAATTCACTTGCCTAGAAATTGATATAGTATCTGGGATCTCGTCCCGGTCATACATTGCAGCGTGAACAGCCTCGTGAATTGTAAAAATAATTCTCTGCTTTCCTTTATAGAGATATGGTTTCCACGCAGGCTGTTTTCTGTCCGCCGGGGGCAAATCTGATGAAGCAAAGCCATAAAGCTTAATAGCAGAAATATTGGAATAGTTGAGATCCAAGGGTGTACCTATATGTAAAATAGACAAGAATAAGAGGTGGTTATTAGATAAATATAAGCTGATCAACATAAAAAAATATATAGGAAATTTGAGATGAGAAATACCATACTAAAAAGTACCGACCAAATGGCATTGAGCTACTAATAAAAGTTCGAAGTGCATCTTTGTCCAGGGGCCTTGAACCAATCTTTGGAGCATCTGATGCAATGGCTCCAGTCACAGCAGTGTTTGAGGTGGTAGAAGGTGCAACTGGTGCAGCTACAGGTTTTGCTCTTGCAGAAATACCTGAAATCCCAATACTGCCAGTTAGGGAATCCAACAACCCCCCTACAGATGGAGAAGCACTAACAACCACCTCAGGTTCTGGAACATCCACTGTAACTACATCCCCTATGGAATGTGCCACCATAAAGGCCCTAAACATGGGAAAAGATATATGTCAGGAAAGATCAAACAAAACATATTGATTGTGTAAGCAATATTAGAGCAACAGTGCTACAGACCATGCAAAAGAGAAATAGAAGAAAAAACCAGAAAAAATAAATAAAAAGGAAATACAAAACAAAAAATGACCAGACTGTTCTTCAATTAATCAGAATGTATATCTGAAAACTAAAGAAAAATAAATAATGAAATAAACCACAGACAATTAATCATAGTTAATGGAAAAAACAGTGAACCACCCATACAGAATGAAAAAATAAATAAATAAAATTAAAAAAAAAAAAAACTGGAGTTTCAGAATTAGTTAAAGGAGGGCAACTCAAACAAGTGGCACCATACACTAACCAGTTCCATTTTGTCAGGTGTGCAAAACCAAAGTCATTGACAACCAATTTTTTAGGAGCAACAAACACAATGAAATAAGAGCCCTGGGATGCTATAGTTGTGACAGTTTCATTTGCAAAATTTTGAACCCAAGTGAAAACAACACTATGACTAAAAATTTAAACCAGCTAGGTTCAGTAATAAATCAAGATAGACAGAATACTCCACATATCTTTGTTCAAATATTTGTTGATCCAAATGAAGATTTGGAAGACTTAGGTGGCATAACTCAAGAAAAAAGTAGCCAACCAGAGAGAGAGAGAGAGAGAGTCTGAAGATGCCAGAGACTCTGATTGCCACATCTGGCCAAAATATACGAAACAAAACCAGACAACCACTATTTCAGGTATGCAGAAACACGTGAAAAGATTCCACGGAAGAGGGTATGGGAGAAGATTTTATGTGCTTATGTTGCTTTAGTATTGTTTTGTTCAAAAGCAGTAGAAGCATCCTAGATCCCTATTCCATGGAATCTCAAATTCCAGTCAGAACCAAGTAGAGGACAGACAAAACAGTAGGAGCACTGTCTGGTTCTTGTTAGTTCTGCTTCATGAATAATATTGCATGTAACTTACCATACCCTGTGATGGATGGAAGATCAAGAAGAAGGGAAGACACACTTCCATCCACTCCAACAGCATTTCCGCGATCAGACCTTTTACATATTCTCGCATATGCTTTTAGATGACAGGGTTCAACTAAAGGCAATACAAGGATGCAATACTGGCTTTTTATGTGCAAAATTAATGGCCAAAAGAGATGATTCTCTCCTTCCTCTTCTTTGTTAATATATAGGCTTATAATATGCACTGCAAAATTAGTACGTATAATCATCAGAAGAATTATATCAAGATGAATTTTCATGAACTAAGAAAATGGAGGACACCAAATGAAAATAGTGAAAACATACAGTGACTTGTAACCAACCATTACAAAAGGCATTGACTATAATATCATGATTAGATCATATAGTCTTGTGAACAATAAGCAAACAAAATACATGTTATCATCAATAGCAGTTATGTTAAATATAATGCAGCTTTTGAAAGGATGAACCCAACTTAATACTACAAAACACATACACACACACAGATGTATCAGTTATTTGAATAGTCAAGTTTGAGCACAAAGAGGTTACAAATTGAATAGTAGGGACTCAATCGGACAGCTTATAGTAAAATAGGTTACAAATTGTGGCCTGGAGGTTAACAAAAAACAAGATTGTAATTACTAACAGAAGTATGTAATTGATTACTAATTTGCGTCAAGACTCATGCATAACGAACGGCAAAAACAACTCTAGCATTATGGTATACAAAACAACTAACAAGAATAGGAACACGGTATACCACTTGCCCTAGTATAAGGTACACCTCCCTATTACACGACCTAAAAAAAAGGCTTGCAATTGAGGCAGGCTTATATAGCTTATAACATTGGAATTCTTAAGTACTTCTAACTGTAAGAATTACATTTTATAGACAGTTAGACATTTAATAAAACAAAATTTATTAAAATCTACTTACTTTTAGGTTTTCTTATTCTTCAAATTAATCAACTAACATCACTATCCTATAAGCATTACGGTCACTTTTTAGATCTTCTCTTGCCAAAACTCCTATCTTTCTAGATTTTATATCATCATATTTGAAATTTTTTTTTCCTCATAAAAAACAAGTAAGAAAATTTTGGATCACTTTACTAAATAAACCATGTTTCTGAATGTGATCCAAAATGTATATTGGTAGAGAATAAGAGTTTAGCAACCATAAAAGTCTCTTGAGTTCTTTAGAAAAAAAATAAAATAAATTGAAGTTATCACATAAACTCCCAAAGGAATAAATCATTTTTAAGAATACAAGCTTCAATATTTTACACTCAAAGATGCAAGAACACTAATAGGTGCAAGAACAATCAGCTCCAAAACTAATCAGAATAAAGAAATTACTTCGTAATTTGAGTAAACAACATACTCTTTCTTCTTCTTTTTTTCCCAGCTGAATGGTTATTCAAAACTATCATCAAGTTCAAATTTGAGGAAAAATAGCTTCTTTTCCTGCTCCAATGGTTTCATCAAATACGTATCAAATCCAGAATTTTACTTTTCTTTCATCAAACTGAGAATCATTGTGCCTTTCATCAAATTACTATTCATTACCGTTGGATTTTCACCACTGGATGTCTCCTAGATGTCTCCCCGAATGAACCACCTCAAGACAAAAATTTGTGAAAAAATTGCGCTAGCCGGTAGACCAGTGGTTTGGTAAAACTACAAAACCCTCCATTAGAGCACTTGATATCAAATGAAGTTTTTATTCAAATTTGATGAAAAAAATTAATGCACCGTCGGAGATGCTCTTAGAAACCTAAAAAGTGTACCTAGCAAGGAGGCTACCAAATCTGACGTCAATATTAGGGCTTCAAGCACAATTTTTCCTGTAAAAACTCCCAATGCAAAAAGATATCACACAATAGTTTCATGCAATCATCATGCAGTCAACATTTCACCCATTAAGATTTTAAGCAGTTTGCAAGAAACTATCAGCCATTTGTATTGGCACAACTTACACCAACAGTGAGACTCAGTCACACGGTATAGAGTCCAAGGATAATCAAGTTCAGTGGATGCTTGCCGATACACATACATAGGCCACAGCACTGCATTTTAATGAGACTTGCATGTTAGTATTCAAAACTAGACATGTAAAGCCAAGAAGAATTCTTTTAAGTGAATGGTGACCGCTCATCATTAATGCCAAATTTTTTTGCCCTAAAACTTTAATTCATCACCACGGAGGTTGTGTTTGTTACTTGTCATCAGCACGGAAACCATACTAATCCTAATCCCGTGCCCATCGTTAAGCCAACAATACTACGTACCCATAAAAATTATCTAAAAAAATGCTTCGCATCCTACCAACTTTAAATTTACACCATCCACCGTCTCATTTTCGGGATAAATTTTGGGGCAAAAATCATGGTTACAGAGCATTTTTCTTTAGCAGATCCCAAAAAAGATGAGATATAGTAGACACAAAGCTAACTAATGCAGAAGAGTAATATAGTACATACATAGATACATATATACATAACCCAATACTTCTATTCTATAGCAATTACCAGCAATAAACAAGTAATAATTAAAAAAAGAGAGTCAAAACCCCAAATGATCAAGAGAAAAAACTAAGCCACAAAAAAGAAAAAAGAAAAGAGGAAGTATAAAAGGAAGTCAAAGAATAACCAAGCCAAAATTCCAATTCAATCCTTTAAAAATATCCCAATTTTATAAATCAAACAAATAGTAAAATTGTAGAGATCTAGGATACAGTGTTCCCTCCTCTATGTCCCCCTTCGTGCTCAGGGTCTCGAACCCGTACACAAACGCCCCAGAGGTTACTCATTAATGCAGTCGCGCTTCTAGATTTTTCTAAAATTATAAAAATACCCCTTATTTTGCCTAAATATACACGTTAAATTACACAAACACCCCAGAGATTTCTTGGGAGGTTCTTGATCCTGAAAATCTCGTCTCCAAAGCCATGGATAAAGCAACCAAGTAAAACTGGTGACTGATTGCTCTTTGATCAGTGATTCACCGGCCATTCACCGGACAGTTGATCGGTGAAGAAACTCTCCAAATTTCTGCTTTTTGATTGCATCATTACAACAACGTTCAATGTAGACATTTCTCCAGATATTTTCAGAAGTGGAAATAACAACAACAACAACAACTGTTTGTATCATTTGGTTGCAACCAAAGAATGAATGGAAACCTGAAGACTTGGCACTTTGTATATTATTTAGCTCAACTGAAAAGGGGTCATGCATCCATGGTCACAATCAAATCTTCAGCAGAGCTAATGCATTTCAAATAGAAAGTGAAACTTCTATCCCAGATATTACTAATGATGTTAGCCTATTCGTATACCCTGCTGCTTGCTTTATTTCCCCTGTTAACGTTAATTCTGAAACAAGTCTTTGCATCTAATTTTTATTCGAAGTCTTGACGACTATAAGTTGAAGTGTGAGAAGGTTTAGTTATTGTTATCTTTGATAACTGAGAAGAGGAATTCTGTTTTTTGAAATTGATTAAAACCAAAGCTAAGTACAAAATATATAAACTCATAGAGTAAACCCTAATAACCTAAAAGACTAAATTACCCTCAATTGAGAATATAATAAACCCTGATAACCTAGAAGACTAAATTACCCTTAATTGAGAATATAAAATACAAATACAATACAATTCACACCCCCCCTCAAACTGAGGATGCGAGCGCAAAAAGTATCGAAATTTGCCAAGAAAAAAACGAAAACGAGCAACAGTGTGAGTCTTCGTAAAGAAATCGGCCAACTGAAGAGAGGAGGGAACAAAAGGGAGAATAATAGTGCCAGCCTAAAGATGCTATCTAACAAAGTGACAATCTATTTCAACATGCTTAATCCGCTCATGGAAGACTAAATTATGGGTAATCTGGACAGCACTCTGATTATCACAATACAATGGAGTCGGATCAGAAAGAGAGACACCCATATCAGAAAGAAGTCACCGAAGCCAAACGATCTCAGAAGTAGCATGAGCCATGGCGCGATATTCAGCCTCAGCGGCGGAACGAGCAACAACAGACTTTTTCTTACACTTCCAAGATATGAGAGAATCTCTGAGAAAAACACAAAGACCAGAAGTGGATTTGCGCTCAGAGACATCACCTGCCCAATCAGCATCAACATAGGCACGAAGAGTCAAGTCCGAAGACGCAGATAACAGCAGACATTGCAACAAAGTGCCACGAAGGTAGCGCAAAGTACGAAGTAAGGCAGCCCAGTGCGTGGAACGAGTAGCAGAAACAAACTGACTGAGAATGTACACAGCATATGAGATATCCGGACGAGTAACAGTGAGATAAACAAGACAACCAACCAACTCGCGATACAAAGTGGGATCCTCAAGAGGAATGCCATCAGAAGCAGAAAACTTAGCATGCAACTCAATAGGAGTGTCGATAATTTTGTCATTAGTGAGATTGACACGAGAAAGAATATCATGGATATATTTAGTTTGAGAGAGAAAATACTCAGTAGGAGAAGTAGCAACCTCAATACCAAGAAAATATTGAAGAGACCCCAAATCCTTCATCTCGAACTCCTGAAACAACTGATGCTTAACCTCCTCAATAGTACTAGAATCAAAGCCAGTGATGATCATATCATCCACATACAAGAGAAGGAGAACAAGGCCAATAGAAGTGCGCCGAACAAATAAAGCACAATCATGATGACTAGAACGAAATCCAAGTTGAAGTGCAACAGAGTGAAATCGCTCATACCAAGCACGAGGAGACTGCTTGAGACCATATAGAGCACAGCAAAGACGACAAACAACACCACGAGGGTGAGAAAGACCCGGTGGAGGACGCATATACACTTCTTCAGCAAGATGCCCATTCAAAAAGGCGTTTTTGACATCAAGTTGAAACAAAGACCATTGATGGGCAGCAGCAACAAAAATAAGAGTGCGAACAGTAGTCATCTTGGCAACGGGGCCAAAAGTCTCATCGTAATCAATCCCATACTCCTAAGAAAAACCCTGGGCCACCAAACGAGCTTTATACTGTTCTAAAGAACCATCAGAAAGAGTTTTGACCTTATACACCCATTTACAGCCTACAACATTCTTACCAGCAGGAAATGGAACCAAATCCCAAGTCTAAGTGTTAGCCAAAGTAGTTAACTCGTCATTCATTGCAAGCTTCCTTGTACGACCTGGGCTCAAAATAAATATGAAGACAAGAAAGAAAAGACTGATAGGAAAGGGAAAAACATGTATTACCAAAACCATACAAGTTCAGAGGATGACGGTCTCGCCTTGGAAAGCGATGTGCAAGAGGAACAAGATCCAAAGAAACAGTTGGAGGGACAGTAGAGCTAGACACAGGCGAGCTCGGAAGTGTTTTGCGGCGCTGATAAACAAGAAAAGGAGCAGGGGAAGCAGGAGCTGGAGAGGGAGCTGGCGAGATATCAGAAGTGTTAGTAAGAAGCAAGGTAGAGACCTCAAGATTAGAAACAAACTCATCGGGAGAAACATCTTGAGGAAATGGGTCAACATGAACCAATTCATCCTTGGTAAGAGGAACAGGGGTGGAATGCATAGTGTAGTAGAGTAATTTTTCTAAAAATGTGACATGCCTAGACACATATAGCTTTTTTGGCGGCAGGATCATAGCATCAATAACCTTTCTGATTAATGCCATACCCTAATAAGACACATAGAACACAACGAGAACTAAGTTCAGAGCGTGCCCGTTTAGGAAGGAGCACAAAGCATGCAGAACCGAAAATACGCAAAAGAGAATAATTAGGAGTAACACCAAAAAGACGCTCATACGGGGATGAGCTAGAAAGAAGAGGAGTAGGCATCTGATTGAGAAGATATGCAGCAGTGAGCACAGCTTCTCCCCAAAAGACAGAAGGGACAAAAGACGAGAGCAACAAAGAACGAGTTGTATCACGGAGATGGCGATGTTTGCACTCAGCTCGACCATTTTGGGCAGGAGTGTCAGAACATGAAGACTGATGAATAGTGGCATGAGTGGCTAAAAACTCCTCAAACTCGGACAAGTAATACTCACCTCCCAAATCAGAATGGAGAACTTTAACGGTGGTAGAAAACTGAGTGCGAATCCTGGAGTGAAAATTATAATATATTTTGCAAAAATCAGATTTTCGAGTCATCAAATATACCCAGGTAAACCGACTGTAATCATCCACAAAAGACACATAATATTGCGAACCACCCTTGGTAACTATAGGGGAAGGACCCCAAACATCAGTATGAACCAATTGAAAAGGAGAAGAAGAAATAGAACTACTTTTACTAAAAGGAAGAGCAGACATTTTAGCCATTTTACAACCACGACACTCAGAAATATCATCAATGGGAAAATTGCCTAAATGTCCAGACCGGACTAACATCCTCAAACGATCACTCGACAGATGACCTAACTTAGAATGCCAAATATAAAATAAAGAAGACTTATTGTTTAAACAAAAAGAAGACAATGCAGTAGAAGACACTTTTAGAGGAACATGCAAGCTGTCCAAGATATATAGTTCTCCAACTCTACGCCCGATCCCAATCTGCCTCTTGGATACCCGATCCTGCACAACACAATGAGAAGAAGAGAAAACAACATCAAAACCGAAATCAGATAATTGACTAATAGAAATAAGATTGAGTAAGAGGTGAGACACATAAAATACAGGAGAAAGAGACAAATGGGAAGAGGAAATAGAACCAATAGAGTGAACAGGCATAGAAGAACCATTAGCAACAGAGTGAAATCGCTCATACCAAGCACGAGGAGCATTTGCACACAACATTCTGGGGACGCTTTTTTCCATGTCCCCACTGCTTCAGAGATTGACCATCAAACATTGCACTGGTATTGGCAATCTCAATATCCAAGCTCCAAAGCTCAAAAGGCTACGTGTACAGCACAATAGTGAGACACAATCAATATGTTTTACGGACACCCAAAATCTGAGTTACGTCGCTATCATATTTGGTTTAACAATGGGAAGTCCCAAGAGTGTTAAAACACCCAATGTGGTTAGGTTTCTTGGTGACTTCCCTAGAATTGCAGAGCTAAATTTGGATGGCTTTTTTATTAAGGTGAGACATTGGTTTTATAATTTTATCTGGTTTATTTATTTCAAAACATGTAGCTTGAAAATGTCCTTATACAATTTGTTGCCATTTGCATCAAAGATTTTGGCTGCAGGTGGAGTTCCCCATAGGCTTCCGACCACAGCTAACCTTTTGAAGGTACTTGCATTACATAATTTTCGGTTTAATGACTTGGATCATATTTCATGCGCGCTTTGTCTGATTAGAAGCTGCCCCAACTTGACGAAACTTCAGATTTGGGTAAGAATGTTGAATCTAGAAACTTGGTATGTTATCTTTAAAAATTTCAGACTAATTGGTTTTGCATAATGGTATTATCTTCACAGACTTGCATAATAATGGAGAGGAACGATGAAGAACTGGTTCTAAATCGTCTGGAAGCGCCAAACTGCATGGATTGAATGCTGGACAAACTTCAATCTGTGAAGATAAGTTATGTCATGGGTTTGAAGCCTGAACTTCTTTTCATCAAGCTTCTGTTAGCCCGCTCACCAATTCTAGAAGCAATATTCATTCAGCACAGTGTAGAAGTTGATTTCGAAAAAGGGTTCGGTATCTCAAAAGAGTTGGCACGGTTTCCTTGGGTGTCACCAAAGGCAGCAATAATATACTAGATAGCGATCGTGCTGACATAGATGTTTGTTTTTCCCTTTCTTCTACATCTGGTATCTGATCATATAAAAGTTCATGGAGATTTGATGAGCACTAGCTAAAACAAATTGAAACTGTAAATATGTGTATTTTTTCTCCTCTGGTTTGTGTGTGTAGTTTAAAGTTTTATTTATGTTTAGTGGAAGAGCAAGTCTTTTTCCCATGGTATGGTTAAAGATCCTCATTGCAATGGCTTTGGAGGAATGGATTAAAAAACCTGTCTTTTCTGTTAAATGGTGTTTACCAACTTACCACATGGGCATCCCAATCCTTTTCCGTGTACAGTTTTTTTGTGTTTTTTAGTAAATTGGTTGGAGGGGAATAGGGAAGGAAAAGTTGCATAGTGCAGACTCGAAACCAGATATTTCGCCTTGTTTTGCTCAACTTTCGAAAATGAGAAAACTTTAGTTGGAAGTAAAATTATTTTTAATTTGTATGCTGATTGAGAAATTCACATTTTTTAATCTATATTTATCGATTCTTGCAAATTTACAAAAGAAGATAGACGAGAGAAAAAATTAATTTCTGATTCAATCATCAACAGCTAAAAAGAGGATGAACTGATTAAAAATGAAGAATGGGTCTTAGCCTCTACAGTTTTTAGTTAGTTACTTGTTAATTCATTATGTACTTGCTAATGTACCCATACAATTAATTCAAAGGCTTCTTGTGCATTAGATTGAGCATTTTGTTTCTTGAAATTGTTAAACAGTTACATGCTGGAATAAACCAAGGTTAAAGACTGTCTATACTAATTACAAGCAATTGAACCAGTGGTGAATGAGTTGAGGTAGATTTGTTCATGAATTTACTCCAGTTGTTTCCACAGCTCTAAATTATTTTGACAAAAATGTATAACAACCATAACATAGTCCTGTAAATTGATGATAATAAAATAAAATAAATAAAAATGTGCCTAGAAGACCTCAGATGCTGTAGTATCTTTCTGCAGAATACCACCTAGACATGTCTCAACATGGTCGGAATTCTGTTCACAAAGTTTGTCAACCAGAGAATGGCAAATACATTCACGGAGCGTGTAACCCATACTAAACGTATAATCCAACACAAGTATAGCCTCATCCAGCTTATCTCCTTGTGATAGACATTGAATTAGTCTCTCAAAAGTTTGCTTTTGCGGTTTGAGGTTATGTCTCAACATTGCAGTCAACCATTCCATCCCCTCGGCAACATACCCTTTATTGCTCAATCCAGTTATAATGAAATCATGAGTACATACTGCTGGTTCCACGCCCCTATTCTGCATATCCTCCCACAACTCTTTTGCTTCATCCACATCACCCATCTCACAAAGTTTTTCTATGAGGGCAGTATAAGTAGCAGTTGAAGGTTGCATACCCTTCTCTAAAAGTTCAGCCAAAAGATTTATACTTTCATCTATTTTCCCTTCCTTGCAGAAACCCTGAATCAAATAATTGTACGTGATAATATCACGAGCAATTCCCTTCTCAGCCATTTCTTGAAACAACACATGAGCTTCCTCTGTTCTTCTATGCAAACACAGCCCTCTGATCATAATGTTGCAACTCACTGTGGTCTCTTTATAACCTTTACAACACATTTCATTGTACAACTCCTTCGCCTCTTTGAGATTACCAATCCTACATAACCCATAAATGAATGCATTGTACATGTATTCATTTGGAACTATTCCTTTGTGAACCATCTCAAACCAAAGCTTCCGAGCCTCCCCAATCCATTTCATTTTGCAAAGACCATGTATCATCGTTGTATACATGACCCTATCCGGAGCATACCCTCTATCCTTTAAATCATTGAAAATCCGAAATCCTCCATGCCGCATTCTTCTCTTGCATAGCTCTCTGATAATTTCCTGATATGTAAAGACATAAGGGCGTCGGTTCTTTGCAATCATAGCATGAAGGAGAGCAGACACTCTCGAATAGTATCTATCCTTGCAAAATCCAGATATCAATTTATTAAAAGCAACATTACTGGGAACAAACCCATCTTCCAAAACTTGCCTAAGAAGCCCAAAGCCTTTCAAAACATTGTTATCAATACAAAAAGCTTGAATCAAATACTCAACTGTATCCACATCCCCTGCAACACCACTGCCCATCATCTCTCCATACAACTTCCAAACAACATTGGTTCGCCTAGCTCTAACCGAACCCAACAAAGCCGAATTCCATGTTTCTAACAACGGGAAAATACCAAGCTTTTGCAATTCATCAAACACCTTCAGTGCTTCCTCAATTGACCCATTTTCACACAGACATCTAACATAAGCCTCTAAAGAAGCGGGTTGAGGAGTAAAATCTACAGAAGTCAAAAACGATTTCGCAGCATTGGCAGCTTTAGCTTCTACAAGACCATCAAAAATCACATCACATGCCAATTTATCTGGTATAAAGCTACGTTGAGAGCTTAGCCAAAGATAGAAACGGAGAGAAAGAAGCACATTGTTTTGCTGCTTCCAAAGCTCAATAAAAAAGTTGGGATCGAAGAGATTGATTGAAAGAAAATCTAAGAGTAGAGTTTGTTCCCATCTGGGTTAAGTCTGAATGACCCTCGAAACTTCTTTGGCGATCTGGGTTAAGCTCTGGGTCTTCGGGTGTTGATGGGTCTGAAGAAATTCTTCGCCGCCATTGCTGAGGCCGAGGTTTCGGATTTGAGGGTTAGGGTTTTGGATGGAGCGAGGGTTTTGGTGGCGGAGGAAGAGGGTTGTGAGAGATTGTGGAGGTCTTGCCATTCACTGTGGTGAGAGATGATTGTTATTAGGATATGAAAATGGACGGTTTTGAGTATATATACGGAAGGAAGCTCCAATCTTGTTCAAAAAAGGAAAAGGAAAAATGCATGGTATGAAAGCTCCGATCGAGTGATGAGGAATGAGAATGGATCGGATCGGAGCGGAACGATGAGCAAACGCTCGAATTCACTACTTCAGATTGCTAAATCGTTAATTTTCTTATTTGGAGTTGAAAGATGGGTGATGAGGTTGATTTCAGTTGATTTTTACTTTTAGATTATTGTTAAATTATTTACTTTTAGATTATTGTTAAATTATTTATATAATGGGTAAATTACGCTCACCTCCCCTGAGATTTTTAACAAATACAGGGATCTCTCCTGTAATTTTAATAATTACAGTAACTTCCCTTACTTTACCTGACATTGTACAAATTCTCCCAATCCGTCAATTATACACAAACGACATTACTTTTGTATACAAAATGACTATATTACCCTTTTATTTAAGCGTAAAAAGACGAAAATATCCTTTGATTGTAGTATTCAACTTTTATTTTTATTTTTATTTTTATTTGTATTTTTATTTTTTATTCTCTCTTATCTCATTAGATCGAAACACCAGAGAGAGAGAGAGAGAGTGAAACTTGTAGATGCCGCTCCTTTCGTTGTTTGTCTTATTTCTTCCGTCGCCACCATCTTTCCTTCTCCTTCTTTTTTGCCGTTCACTGTTCGCTGCCCGCTTTTCCTCTCCTCTTCATCTTCTTCGTCT